GTGTGGATGAGCTATAGCTTGCAGCACCATAGCTGGGAAGAGATGAACTGTAGGTTGCAGTGGTAAAGCTGTGTGTAGATGAGCTATATCTTACAGTGGTATAGCTGTGAGTAAATTAGCTATAGCTTGCAATTGTATAGCTGTGAGTAGTTGAGCTACTGCATGCAAGAGATAGCTGGGCATTCCTGAGCTACATCTTGCAGTGGTATAGCTGTATATAGATGAACTATAGATTGCAGTGGTATAGCTGTAAGTAGATGAGCAATAGCTATCAGCTGCATAGCTGTGTGTAGATTAGTTATAGGTTGCAATGATATAGCGTTGTGTGGATTAGCTATAGGTTGCTGTAATATAGCTTTGTGTGGATGAGCTGTAGGTTGCCATGGTTTAGCTTTAGGTACTTGAGCAATAGGTTGTAGTGATATAGCAGCATAGGTGGGAAGAGATGAGATGTAGGTTGCAGTGCTATAGCTGCCAGTAGATAAGCTATAGCTTGCAGTGGTATAGCTGTGAATTGATTAGCTATAGCTTGCAGTGCTATAGTTGTGTATAGATAATTTATAGTTTGCGGTGGTATAGCTTTTAGTTGAAGAACTATAGGTTGCAGTGGTATAGCTTTATGTAGATGAGCTATAGGTTGCAGTGATATAGCTGTGTGTAAATGAGCTATAGCTTGCCATAGTATAGCTGTGTGTAGATTAGCTATAGCTTGCAGTGGCATAGTTGTGAGTAGATGAGCTGTAGGTTGCAGTGGTATAGCTGTGTGTGGATGAGCTGTAGCTTGCAGTGGTATAGTTGTGAGTAGATGAACAGTAGGTTGCCATGCTATAGCTTTATGTAGATGAGCTATAGGCTGCAGTGATATAGCTGTGTGTGGATGAGCTATAGCTTGCAGCATCATAGCTAGGAAGAGATGAGCTGCAGGTTGCAGTGGTATAGCTGTGAGTAGATGAGCTATTGCATACAATGATATATCTTGGTGTAGATGAGCTTTAGGTTGCAGTGGTATAGCTGTGTGTAGATTAGCTAAAGCTTGCAGTGGTTTAGCTTTATGTAGATGGGTTAAAGGTTGCAGTGGTATAGGTGTGTGTGGATGCAGTGATATAGCTGTGTGTGAATGAGCTATAGTTTGCAGTAGTATAGTTGCGAGTAGATGAGCTGGATGTGGATTAGCTATAGCTTGCTGTGGTATAGCTTTATGTAGATGAGCTGTAGGTTGCAGTGGTATAGCTGTGTGTAAATGAGCTGTAGCTTGCCATAGTATAGCTGTGTGTAGATTAGCTATAGCTTGCAGTGGTATAGTTGTGAGTAGATGAGCTGTAGGTTGCAGTGGTATAGCTGTGTGTGAATGAGCTATAGTTTGCAGTAGTATAGTTGCGAGTAGATGAGCTGGATGTGGATTAGCTATAGCTTGCCGTGGTATAGCTTTATGTAGATGAGCTGTAGGTTGCAGTGGTATAACTGTGTGTGGATGGTATAGTTGTGAGTAGATAAGCTGTAGGTTGCCATGATATAGCTTTATGTAGATGAGCTATAAGTTGAAGTGATATAGATGTGTGTGGATGAGCTATAGCTTTCAGCATCATAGCTAGGAAGAGATGAGCTGCAGGTTGCAGTGGTATAGCTGTGAGTAGATGCGCTATAGAGTTATATAGCTGTGAGGAGGTTAGCTATTGCTTGCAGTGCTATAGTTGTATGTAGATTAACTATAGCTTGCAGTGATATAGCTGTGAGGAGGTTTGTTTACCTTGTAGTGATACAGTTGGGTGTAGATGAGCTAAAGCTTGTAATACAGAGTGCTATGTTCCGGTAAGCTTCAGTTCATAGAGCTGTGTACAAATGAGCTATAGCTTGCACTGAAAGCACTGTCTGTAGAACAGATATTGCCTTCAGTGGTATAGCTATGTGTAGATCAGCTATAGCTCGTAGTGATAAAGATGTGTGTAGATTAGCTATATGTGCAGTGATATGGTTATATAGAGATGAGCCATTGCATCTAATGACAAAGCTGTATGTGGATGGGCCTTTAGCTTTTGTTGTTGTACTGTGTAGTAGTAAAAGACTGGTTGCATGAATAACAGTAGTAGTATAGCGCAGCATGATTCAAAAACAGTGCAGATTTATCATAGGTATGACTGTGAGCTGTATGGTGGATTATTGAACATGAGAGGGAGAGAATAGTGTGTGTAGTAGCATTGGAAATATATAGAAATTTTTGATTCATAACAGAAATGGTATACATTGTATAAAACACATTGTGGTGTGCTTCATAGAGCAGCGCTGTAATATAATAAAAGAGAAATAAATATTCCTTAAAGGAACAGCATGGGATTTACATGACAGCATGGTAGGGAACTGAATGATCTGTGTGTGATATATAAATATAAATATTCCTAGGAATGCTCATTGGAATAGAGAATAAGGAGCAGTATGAGGTGCAATGTCCTCTCTGCTACTTAGAGGAATAGCATAACAATCAGTGTAATAGTGCTTTGAACACGCTGTGCATGGTATTTGCAGAGTTCTTGATATAGGACAAGATGCTCTGTGTAGCCTTATGGGCATGTTAGTGGTAAACTTAAAGGGACACTCCAGGCACCCAGACCACTTCTGCCCATTGGAGTGGTCTGGGTGCCAACTCCCACTACTCTTAACCCTGCAAGTGTAATTATTGTAGTTTTTTTTATAAACTCCAATAATTACCTTGCAGGGTTAACTCCACCTCTAGTGGCTGTCTAGACAGCCACTAGAGGGCATTTCCTGGTTTCTAGCACAGGAAACCTGTGCTAGAGCGTCGCTGGACGTCCTCACACTGTGTGAGGACCTCCAGCGTCGCTCATTTCCCCATAGGAAAGCACTGAAATGCATTTTCAATGCTTTCCTATGGGGAGCACTAATGTGCCGTGCATGCGCATTAGGTCTCCCCGGCCGGTGGGCGGGATCAGTCTCGCCCACCTGCGGACGCAATCTGAGGGAGGAGCGGCGCGGAGGAAGAAGCAGCAACGTGGGACATCATCGCTACCTCAGGTAAGTTACTGAAGGGGTTTTCACCCCTTCAGCAACCGGGGATTGGGGGGTGGGAGGGAGAGGGGGCCTGCAGTGCCAGGAAAACAGATTGTTTTCCTGGTACTGGAGCTTCCCTTTAAGCATAAGCACAATAGCAAGAGGGTATAGTGAAAAAATAGCGTGTTTAGACTGACCATGATTATATTCTAGCAAACAGCATGGCAATGCTTTGTACGAGCCACATGCATGATAGCTCCAACAAGAGCAAGGCATGCAGATCATGTGCATCAGGAAAACCAAGAAGGTTACTGGTTTACATAGGGCTGGATTCTCTTAGTAGAGCAAGGGTTAAATCTGCTTACTAAATAGCAATTTCTCAGTTGATTTCCATGGGAAAATAGCTATTCAGTACGCAAGGTAAACCCTTTTTCTGCTAAAAGAATCTAATCCATATTAATTCTATTACAAAGGTTGCCAGCTCATTGTTCCTTGGTGCCCAAAACAAGCTATAATTTTGGTGCCTTTTATTTTGTAAACTTTTTTTTTTTTATCTATGTGTTTGTCATGGTTACTTGGTACAAGAGTGTGGAATTCAGTGAGCAAGGTATAGACAAAGCTGTCAGCAAGGTCACTTTTAAGCATTAAATTCACAGAAAGACTGTGCATTCGATTATAAAGCGCATGTGCAGTGAGACAAGAGAAATTAAAATATAAAAGTATCTTATAACATATTGCAATGTGCCTATGGCCAGGGATTATTCCAGAGAAATCAACAGAGTACAATATGGTATGTAGGGAAATAGTAACTAAGTATATGCTGCAGGACAATATGAACCTGAAAAAAACAGGTGCTTTGTGTGTGTGCTTGTATACAAGCCACCAATGTTTTATACTAGGAAGAAAGGCATTTTTTTGTCATTTCTACATATAATGTACTTGTGATAATGTCATGCATAGTGGATAGTTACGGTTATATGCTTTATTTAGGCAGTATGTACGTGTTACAGGATCAGATTTTGATCTTCGGTTACGTAGCTTTCTCCTAATCTTTGGCCTCTGATTCCAATTTCCGGTTAAATGTAGGACGCAACATGTTTTGTCCATTAGTATCTATTTAAATCTATGGCAACCACATTAACATTTTCAGGTATCTTTGCAGTGTTCCTTACGCTTCCTTCACTTGTTCTTTATATACACATACGTCTGCATAACCACAGGAGTTTTATAATTAAGCGATAAGAAAAACAGTTCCCTGGCATTGTTAATATTAATCTGCATTCAGTTGTAAATGTACAAACATGGCTCTCCTAAGAAAATTGGTATACAGTGTGTGCCTGCATATATATAATAGAACTGCTGAAAAAAAGAAATATATATATATAATATGCATTATTGACAATAAGGGATGTTTTCACAAATAGAGGGAAATGACAGGGTAGATGGGATTGTTAAGGCTGTATACATTGGTGAATGGATTTGTGTGGGTTCAGACAGGTGAATTAATAGATGTGTTTTTTGAGGAACACTAGCAATCCAATGTAATCGTTCCAGTAATAATAAGACTCTGGGCAAAGCTATAATGACTATGGCATGAGTGTGCTCTTAGCTAAGTAATTATATGGGTGGTACATTTCAAATAGTTTATGCGTCTGAACAATTAACTTCAGTGCAAGATCCAAAAACGCAGTTTTCCCAAGATGTTAAAAAAAAATTATTTTGTGCTTGATGCACCATTATTGTGCATAGATAAAAAGCAATTAGTAAATAAAATAAAGGTTGTTCACATTTCATAAAATTTAGCTGAGAGGAAATATGAATAGAGGATATGATAGAGTGATGGCCATTCCAACAGAGTGAACAATTCTAAACTACTGTATGTAGACATTTGCTAAATATGTAAAGTTTCTTAAATTAACAAAGATTTTTTGTTTCAAAATGGTGTGCATGTTTATTAAGCAGTTAAAGTGGCTCTGTTACCTTTGGGGGGGTTTTGCATATTTTGCAAAGGCTCTCAATAGTGACATCTCAGCTTGGGGTATGTTGAGCCAGGGATGCAGCAGAATGAAGTTATACTTACGTGAAGTTGTTTGCTGTTGGTTCTTTCAACTTCTTTCTTCAGCTCTGGACACATCATCTGCCAGGGGCCATGTGCATGTACGAGAGTACAACACTGATGTCCATGGAGGATATTGATGTCCACTGAGGTCCATAGAGCATTTCAGAATGTTTTTACCTTTATGAAATTACCATCAATACATTTTTGGTGACAAAGCCATATTAAAAACACTAACATTTTAAATAGATGCTAGAAGTTGCAATAATAGTCCATCGCTGGTATTCATTCACTAACTGAAAAATTTATAGCGTGCTCCTTTTGACAATATACAAAAATGAAACACATTGGAAGGTGAACAGACTCTATTCTATGGAATATATATACAGCATTAAAGTTAACTCTACACTAGGCAACTGAGTTCTTTGTTTTTGATGAAGCATCTGATACATTTTGTAATTTATTATAAATATATGTAAAACAAACTGAACTGTTTTTATAAAAGAAACAAATTCCATTGTTTGAATTTCACTTTTTACAATTCCTCTATTGGTGTTGAACTTATATCATACCTATACAGTACATTAAAAATTTATTTATTTTCTAATACACAGCCGAAAAGACAGCTCCATCTGTCTTCCCATTGAGACCCTGCTGTGGATCTGAGTCCTCTGGAACACATGTCTCTATTGGGTGTTTGGTCAGTGACTATTTTCCTACACCAGTAAATGTCCAATGGAACTCAGGGTCCATAACATCTGGAATCAAGAACTTCCCAGCTGTTTATTCAAATGGTCGGTTTACCTCCAGTACCCAACTGATAATCCCTGTGTCTGACTGGGAAAGTAAAAAATATGTGTGCAATGTTGAACACCCAACAACATCTACAAAAGTTAGCAAAGAAATAGAAGGTAAGAGTAGAATGATGTTGTAAGTCATAATGCTAAATATAAATGGCATCATATTCTTAGCTTGTCCTTATGGGTGGCATATTGTCTACAGCATGCACTTATATTGCATGTATCACTGTTTCTTTTCTTTGTAGTATATGTGACTATAATTTATTTTTATTTTGCATATTCAGAATGTTCAACAAAAGAAAATCCACCAAAAGTGGAGGTTCTGCAGGGTTCCTGTGGTGATGAACCTGGCAATAACTCTGTTGAACTGGTTTGTCTTATCTATGGATATTCCCCTAAAGACATTAAAGTACAGTGGTTGTTGAATGGAAAGGCAACCTCAATTTCCCCAACAAACAGCACTCCTTTCAAAAATGAGGAAGGTACATTTGAGTCCAGAAGCAAGGTTCAGGTTCCGAAACAAGACTGGAATTCGGGGGATGTTTATACTTGTAAAGTGGTACATGATGCAACCAAGACACGTGAAGAGGCAAAAATCAGTAAATGCAAAGGTATACATAATAAATAATGAAATTATTGAAAAAATATAACATCAAAGCAAATCAATCATTTGTGAGAAACTTAATGGCCTGCTGTCCAAAACATTACTATCCTGCATTCCTTTTTTATCCCTTTATCATTTATTCCTCTTTTTTTCCATCCTCAAAATTTGGAGCAAAATGTTATTGTTGGTGAGTTAGCATACTTATGCTTGTTAGTTATTCTCTGCTTTGATTGTCCCCAGGTTTGAGTTTTGAATTTGTCTACTGATAAAACCTTCATTATATTTTATGAATGAAATATTCATTAAAATCTTATTAGCAAATATAAGTCATCACAGTCATCACTGATGTGAAAATGTACCTCTTTTATGCATGACCTGCATGATTGATGGTTGAAAATAAAAAAATATATATTTTCAGTTATTATCAATGTCTCAAATCAGTGGATTAAAGTATCAATAGCACACTAAAACCTACATTGGAAGTTATTCACAGCAGATACATAGCCACAGTTTAGTTATTTTCAAAAGAAGATATAAAATGTGAGATATATTCTGTTTAGTACAAACATGCAAAAGCAGTCTTAAACACTGAAAAATAACTTATAGTAGGCTAATCTCTGCCATGGAACTTTCCCTAAATTGCTTTTCTTGTATGATTTCAATTATTACATTACTTTTCAGAGTCTGCATCTGGATACCATCCAAAGATTGTTGTACACCCTCCTTCGCCAAAAGACCTGTTAGTTACCAAAGAACCCAAGCTTATCTGTGAAGTATCTAAAATGGAAAATCCTGATAGTTTAACTGGCATTTCCTGGGTACGCAGTGATGGCAAAAGAAATCTGGCATTTACTTCCATACCAGAAAAGCAGGATGATGGCACTTACACTGTTCAAAGTAGATTGAAGATATCCGTACAAGACTGGAATAGCAACAAAGAGTTCAGTTGCACTGCAGCACACATTGATCTACCCTCTCCTGTAACAAAGACAATAAAGAAGGGAGGTAATGATATTTTCCACCATTTATTAGTATCATGTTAAAGTTATATTCTTGGGTAGAACATTGGCTTAAGGATAGAGTACAATGAGTTGTCATTAATGGTAAATTTTCAAGCTGGACAAAAGTGGTAAGTGGTGTCCCTCAAGGTTCTGTTTTGGGACCGCTTCTATTGAAAATATTTATAAATAATCTTGAAATAGGCATAGAAAGGCATGTTTCGCTGTTTGCAGATGACACAAAACTTTGTAAAGTGATAAAATGTGAGCAGGATATTGCTTTGCTGCAGAGGGATTTCGATATATTGCCTCTTTATAAATCACTGGTAAGACCACACCTTGAATATGCTGTGCAATTTTGGGCACATGTTCTAAAAAAGGATATCATGGCACTAGAAAAAGTGCAGAGACGAGCTACAAAATTGATAAAAGGAATGGAGCATTTTAGTTACGAAGAAAGGTTAAAAAATTTAAATCCCTTTAGTTTGGAAAATCAGTGCCTCAGAGGGGATATGATAAAATTATACAAATATATTCGGTGCCAGTACAAACCATTATCTGGAAATCTATTCATAAACAGGGCTATACATAGGACATGAGGTCACACATTTAGGCTGGAAGAAAGGAGATTTAATCTAAGGCAAAGAAAAGGTTTTTTTACAGTAAGAGCAATAAGGATATGTAATTCTCTGCCTGAAGAGGTGGTTTTATCAGAGTCCATACAGATGTTTAAACTGCAATTGGATAAATACTTGGAGAAACATAACATACAGGGATATAATTTCCAATTAATGGGGTAATAGCAGCTTGATCCAAGGAGATATCTGACTGCTATTTTGGGAATTTTTTCCTAGCAGACTATGTTTTTTCTGCCTTCTTTTGGATCAACAGAAAAAAAAACATATGTGAGGAAGACTGAACTTGATGGACGCAAGTCTTTTTTCAGCTATGTAACTATGTAACTATATAGAAGGCATGAGTGGGCAAAGTGGGCACATAAAATAGCCGTACCAGAAAACATGATTATTCAATGACTTTACTAGTTCCTGATGCAAGTCATGATTTTATGAAAGACAGAGGCAAGCGAATAAAAATGTATAGTTTGTTGTGGCATAAATTTGTGATATTTAATTTCAATCTATTATCAAGCAGAAGAGTAAATCAATACTATAGAGAGATAAGATTTAGCTAAATTGTTTATGTTTTTATTGAGTCGTGTAAATAAAGGTATTTTATTTATATAAGGTCTCTGAGATACTGAAAGTCATCCATACAAATATATTGGTATTATGTATACAGAGAAATTCTGAGTCAAGATTCTGTAAATTTAACAAAACCAAAATATATATATATATGTATGAACTTCATAATTTCTCATTTCTCTTTATACATGGTAACTTATTGATTAATTTCTTTATACACATAATATGAGGTAAGCTTTAACTTCTAGAGAATGTAAAACATGTTGTATAGTAAGGAATTATTTCTAGTGTAGCAAAAATATATTTATCCATAGTATAATGTGCCTGATAATTTAATAGTTTAAGCATGACACTAAAGATTATATTAGAATTGTTTATATTGTTATTTTGTTTTGTTGTTTGTTTTGTTTTGTTTTTTGGGTTGCTTGTTTTTGTTTGTTTTTTGCTTGTTTCTCTGCAAATTGAAGCAAACATGTTTAGTTATGCTGGTGGTGGGTTGACCCATTGTGTATAGGTAAAGACAAGAAAAGGGCTTGGATATCTCAAAAGCAGTGATAAAATTCAGCTTGGCCATCTGCACTGGCCCAGTCGAATGAGATGACTTACATTCATGACAAACAAATGTTTACTTGGCATTGGTTTAAAAATTTAAATAAAAGTATAAATAATAAAAAAAAGACATTCACTGATCAGAATTATATTATTTTCCAGATAATATAAGAGAACCTACTGTCTATATATATCCACCTGCACCAGAGGAACTTAACAGTCATGACTTTGTGAACCTCCCCTGCCTTATTAAGGGTTTTTTCCCAGGGGAAATTTATGTTCAGTGGAAGAAGGATGGTGTTATTGAAAAAGAAGACTACTACCTCAACACTACACCTGTAGAAGAGGATGAAGAAGATTTTTTCATATTTAGCAAGCTCATCATTTCCAAATCTGACTGGATCAAAGGAGTCACTTATTCCTGCATTGCTGCTCATGACACGATCATTGAAAAAACTATCAAAAAATCTAGGGGTAAATGATTATTGTTCATTGCATAAGTGTTCGGGGCTTCTATTAGATCCAATTGCTTCCCCCTCCCTTTCGCTACACTCATCAACATGATTCGGTCAACCACATTGCCAACATTTTTGTCTCAGTTTGATGTGTGGAATGTCAAACAATTACACTTTAGGTCCACAGAGTGATGCTGACAATAAGCTAGCCCTGTCTGTTGCCACTGTTAATGTGTCTGTTTATTTAGCATGGCATCTGCAAATGTTAAATAGACATGAGATTCTCACAATGCATTCCATCACACTTCTCATGCACATGTTTTACGGGAAACTGTAAAACAGCAGCTGACAATATAACAACTGATACACGTTCCTTCATTTTGTCAGCATTTCGTGTTCCCAGATGATTCCAATAAGTTTAGTGATAGTGTGTGTTTTATAAAATGTCATTGTATACAGTGTCCATTCGAAAGCGTGCAGCCTTACCATTCCCCTCAGTCTGGTGTGTGGAACTTCAGATTTACCAACTTCTTGCATCTGTCTTGTGGATTGTGCTTTTATTTCAATAAACCTATGTTTATGACTGTATCACTAACACAATGTCTGTCATTTTGTCACTTGGTAATCCTTTCTTAGCTTACTTTGCAGGGTGAAAGGCTACAAATATGCCTGAGAACTCACTTGATAAAGTCTGCACTTTGTGCTTAAACTGATAATGCAAAGTTCCCAGACGTAGGCAGTGATAGGCTGTCTGTGCGGCTTACTTGGTAAAAGGGAAAGTGAACATTTCACAGACGTAAACATCAGTCTGCTAGCATGTGCTTCTGGACTGCAAATATAATTGGCAAATATAAGACAAATAAAAACAAAATACTAGTCAATTAAATGCTATTTAAGATTAATATTTGCTTGTAAATATAAAGAAGCATCGAATGAAAATATATCTTAAAATGTCAAGTACATTACAATAAGTTGGGTCAGATGGTAATATCACACTCCTTATTTACTGGGGAATTTTATGTATACCTACCAAGTGCCACCTTAATATAAATTTTATATCTCAAAAACTGGTTGAATTAAAATGTTAGAATGTTTACACAAGTGCAGCCAAGTCCAAGACAAAAGAATGGGCCTGCTGGTTTCACTGGTTTCCAAAACACTCTGATACATTTCTTCTATTGTCTGTGTATTTATGTGTTAGTTACCCCTGTAAAAATACATGATAGCATTAAGTTCTATGAGATACACAAATGAAACTTCAAATAATAAGATATTAAATGTTGAGCTAAGTGAAAGATATAAAGGCCAAAGAGCTTAGTTATTAAAACACTACCTAATAAGTAAATCAGTCAACAAACAGGTCTCTGAAAGATCTAGCACATGTAAGTTAATGAAGCTGGAGGTAAACAGTTGAAAATTATATATAATATTACAATGCACTTAATATTAAAAGAATGACTTGTCATTGGAAACAATTACACCAGTGAACCAGTGAGTTCAATTTAAAAATAAATAAAAAAATACATATTTAGTTGCAGGACAGGGCCGGACAATGACATTTTGTGTTGCCATCACTCTGTTGATCTTATATTTTAATACACGTGGTTAGATAAATCTCTGGCTAGATCTCTGTTAGATAAAACAAAATTAAAAGTATGTTTCTTAAATTATGAACCTCTTGTTTATAATAGTAGTAATAATAATAATAATAATACATGTAATATATTATATAGAACTTGATACAGTAAAAGTCCTTTAAAAGGGCACAGGAAGATGGACTAAATATTGCTTTAATGCAAATAAAATAAAATTGAATCTACACTTAGATAGAAATGGTGAGTTAATGTCATGCAGAACTTGAACTTAACAGTGCCAATTTACACCCTTTCTGACAATTTCCTCTAAAGAAACTATTGGGGCATATTCACTATAAGGTAAAACAGGGTAATTTAAGAGCAAATCTGGGATAAATACACAGATACATGTATTCTGAAATTAAAATATTTTGCAGTTCAGGTGATTTAGATTCTATTTTGTCAGCTCTGAAATCTCCTCACCATGCTATTTAGTAAAGAGACACAATTGTATTAATTGATACAGCATTCTACAGCTTACATATATGCTTACATATTATTTCTATCCAGGATTCATGTGCAAAAAAAACCTAAAACGGTCATAGTGTAAACTATAACAGTGCACAGTTTATTAGATTGTTGCTTTATAGCACACACATATGTGCATTTGTGTACTGGATCTGGAATAATGACTATGTATCCTGTATAGGAAACACTAAAACCAGAAAGAAATCAATAAAGAAAAGCAGAGAAATAATGGCAATAATAATAGGTCCATTATAAAAAAAAAAATGGGGGTATACTTTGAAAAGGTAAACATTCACAGTGGAAACCAATAGCGTAGAATTATTGGTTGTTCCCCTCCAGAACATTGCCTCAGTCAGTTTCACTGTTGCCTTGGTTCTCTTTTTCACCACTTCCAATACTCTTTCCAGTGTAGCCGCCATTCCTATGGCTTTCTTTGCCTCCAAATCCAGTGCTCTTTTATTCCTCTCCAAGTGATGTCTTTCCTGATTGACAGACAATGAGACCATGAGTATTAACCAGGGGAATTTGGGGTGTCATGCACAAGGAGTTGGACGTTTTAGGGAAAGGTCAGATGTTTGCTACAGCTAGGTTTCTTGCCCACTGATGGCACCCCAAGCTTCTTGTTGAGGCTATCCGGTGGACCCATTAGGAGGAACATTAACAGGGCTATAGAGCCAATTATCAGGTCAATACAACAGCATAAGATTAAAATGTATTATTCTAAATCTGGCTTTTCAACCAAACCAAACATTGATAACAATTGGGCAGATAGACAACACATGTCTAGGAAGCATTGAAATTAAAACAGGCCAGCATCCATGCAGAACACAACCAACACTTTGTAGAATCAATGTCCAAACAAGTCACTTCTTTCCTGAGGGCTAACGGTGGTGTAGCTTGCATTAGGAAACTGTTACTAATATGGTGAACATATATTATTACTATAGTGAATGTATGTATCTAGTAAAAATACGTATTATCTGACTGCACTGTCACTGATGGAAACCAGTACTTTTATTTTAAAGAAATAAAAGCTTCACTGAAAATTAATTAGCAAATTAACAGTACAATCTAAATAAATTCTACCTCTTCTTATTAATATAAGTAAACAACTCTACATAATATCTCTGGCAACAGATCTCTAACATTAATAATAATAATTATTATTATTATTATTAATGTTTTGTTTTTTGTATTATTATTATTTAGTATTTATACAAAGAGTAGGAAACACCTACTGGTAAATTGTGTTAAAATTAGAAGCACAAGAAAATCGGTGACATTAGCCCTATTCTAAACTGTCTATGGTGGCATTTTACAAATATTAGAGTGTGATTAAATAAATCTGTTGAAGATGCTGTTTTGCATAGTTTAAGTTATGCTTACCAAGACATTAAATCATACATATCTTAAATCATATATGTCTTATCAGAGCATCTCCACATCAATGTTGTCCACTATAGTGCAGCAAACATATAGTGGGAATCTCTGCTCATGCATGTAAGCAAGTAAATTAAATCTTAATGTCAATTTATGTTTTATTTTGAAATAAGAATTAGGAAAGACTTGATTTTCTATAGGTTATGATACTTGTTAATCAGTTTAACATTGACTGGGCTGGGCTTGTGTTGACTTTTCATTTCTTTAAAATCTTCTCCAAAGCAGATTACTATTACATTGAGTGTGAAGGCAGCACCGGAGATGATGATGACAGTCTTTGGACAACAGCTGCAACCTTTGTTGCTTTGTTTGTAATGAGTATATTCTACAGTGCAACTATAACCCTAGTGAAGGTAAGAATTACATTTGTTCAACCACCAATTAAACCATTAATTAACCTATTAAAGTAGGATCTCCCTTAAGCAGCCATAAGCAGCAGTTTGCTCCAATCAATTGTATCAATCAAGTTAAGTAGTACTCAAGATTGATAGCAAAACCAGCTATTTTTGATCTTGCTAAAATTTTGAACACATGGTGAAATTAAGTTGTAAATATTTTGCCGAAATTAGCACACAAAATGAAGATGGCAACTGAATCTTGAATCGCCCAATGCCAATTTTATTTTCTAGGCCAAATGCACGTTACATCATAGGTTAAATTATTGATCATAACTAATAAACATTCCCATGAGAAATATATGCATGCACAGAACAATTTAGGGTGAACTCAAAGAATTGTTTAACATATTCTTATATAAAAGACATGCATTTATTGATTAATGCATTAAACAAACATAGACAAAACTCAATTGGTTAGCTGATGTCTATACTATATTTAAATTAAGAAACTTAAAGTGCAGAATTTTCCTTACATTTTTAACCAATCCTAGAATCCTATGGCCAATTTTCATGTTTTTATTATCCAGATAATGAGTATACCCATGTTGATCCTGAAGTCAGAACCCTTGTGTGAACCTATATGAAATAACTTACTGTAAATATTTTAATCTCAAGCATCTACTGACCATGGCATATTTCTTTTCTTAGGTAAAATGGTTTATTTCGAGAATCCTACAGTTTGAAATGCATGAAGACAATCACTTTATCACAGTGCTGGACACAGCAACACAATGAAAGATATTTGATTCAAAACTTGGGGAGCAAGACATAAGAGGACATCCACTAACATCCATTTAAATCTGCAATCATATTAACAAAGACATTGTTCATAAATGTTTCTATACACTATGGTAGTGCATTGGGAGAATAACTGATCATAATACAGAGCAATGAGCCACAATCTAAATATACCAGCCATGGGTACAACAACCTGCATTTAGAATGAGCATTTTTAGAATTCTTCAGAATTTCACCCAGTGCAATCTATTACATTTTATCCGTGTCTGATGTTCCTTACAAACTTCTATTAATTAAACATTTATAAAAGTGTCATCAGAGAATTCCTAGTAGCCTGTTGTATGAGTTG